TCATGTATTTCATTTCTACTTTCTTCAACTCAGTCTCATGCTCGACCTCCTACTGTACAAAATCATTTGACCTCACGTGACCTCTGCCGCCAACCCACACCTCCCGTGCAAGTTCCCTTTGTAAACGTATGACCTTCAACCTCTTATCGGTTACCAGAACCTTCGCTAATTTTTACCTAACAAAAAAAAAACTTTTATTTTAAGAAATTTTTAACATGGATTCCTCATTTTTTCTCTCACTAGTTCATCATTTTTATCAGCACCTCCTTCTCCTCCTTTTATCTTAATTAATGCTTAATACGGATCCCTCATTTTCTTTCTCGCTTACTAGTTCATCTCTTTCATCATCACCTTCTCCTTCTCCTCCTTTTATCTTCATTAATTCTTAAGACGGATCATTTATTTTCTTTCTCTCCTAATAATTAATCTCTTTCATTATCACCTTTCTCCTTCTTTTATTTCAAATAATTCTCCTCATTTTCTTTCTCTCTTACTAACTCATCTCTTTCATCATCACCTTTCTCCTTCTCCTTCTCTTTCCCTCTTCCTCCTTTCTCCCTATAAATGGGCTATTTCTTCGGACTTAACCTAACCCAGCCTTCAATTTTCAAAGATCTGTTCTACTGAATTGACAGTTTTGATTAATGGACGAAAGTTGTGAGAATTTTTAAATAGAATGAAAAGGAAGGTGGAATGGAATGAAAAAATGGAACGGAAAGGAATGAAAAAAAATGGAATGGGATGGAAATAAATATTGAATGAAAGAGATGGAATGGAACAGAATTGAAAAAGTAGATGAAATGGAATGGGAAGAAAAAAAGAAGGAACGGAATGGAATGAAAAGAAGCATTGAATGAAAAATGGAATAGAATGAAAAAGTAGAAGGAATATAACGAAAAAGGAAGATGGAATGGAATGATGATGATGATAAAATGGAACTGAATACAAAGAAGGATGGAATAAAAAAGAAAAGGAAGAGGTGATGGAAGAAAAAAAAGAAAGACGGAATGGAATGGAAAGAAAGATGAATGGGAAGCAAGAGATTAAATGAAATATAAAAATGAAGAAACAAGGGAATAACAAGTGCGGTAATTAACCTAACCGTAAAAAAGATGAATTCATATACATCAAAATAGCTCTTAGTCTATCCACATACTTATTCATCTACTCATCTATTCACCTGTTCAGCAATTTACGTGGCTCTTTATTCATTACTCTATAAACTCATCTATCAATGATAAGTGATATCTATAAAGTATTATGAATCTGCCTTTAATAATAAGACAAGTATCATAGTTTGATTTCTCTAACAGGCCAGCAGTATCCTACATTTTAAAAATTCGCCAAAATTATTAATTATACTTTTCATCTAAAATAAGAAAAATCTCCTTGTTTTAAGGTTAATAAAAATAATTATTTTAAATGACATTTTTCCTCCTAAATCAAACAGATAATTTTATGCAGTGGATACAGTATATTTTTCGGTTTTGTCAGTTAGATCTTGCAAAGTTACTTTCACCTGACCTTTCCTGTGCACAAGGTCACACCCCATCATGACCTTCTGTGACCTTCCACACTTCCTTGAGCTCCTTGGGTGTGAATTTCTTAAAGGTGATAACCAGAGCCGATAAGCAGTTCTTATCTTTGACTTGTAAAACAAAAAGAAGAAAAAAAACCTCTTTGGAATTATATTTTGAATTTAACCGGGAATTGGAAATTAATATGAAGAATAACGATTATATCCCGCAAGATATTTGAATTTCTGGAAAAGCGCGGGAAACCTTGATAACTCAAAATATGCACTCCATTGACTTAGACCCGTCTCTGGTTTGATATAATTCTCTATCTCTCTTTTTCGTTCACTCACGGTCACTTCGTCGCCCATGCTCATTCACTCATTTAATTTTTCTCTCTTCTTCTGTCGCTCTCTTTTTTCCTCCCTCATTCTCTCTCTCTCTCTCTCTCTCTCTCTCTCTCTCTCTCTCTCTCTCTCTCTCTGTCTTTTTTTCTCTTTCTATGTTTGCTGTTTTCTCCATTCCTCCTATGCTCTCCCTTTACTCTTCTCTCTCTCTTTCCCTCACTCATTTATTCACCCCTCTGTCCGACCTAATCTAGGCATTATCAGCTTCCCTTCCCACAACTGTTTGGCCTAAATTTTACGGCTCACAAGCGATGGAATTTCCCTCAAAACTCGCCATGTTCAACCTTGGCATCTCACACGACGTCTGTGGCATCGACCATGAACCAAATTTCGCTCAAAAAATCAGAACAGGTTCGAAAAATTATCAGAAGACCTGCATTTGGCTTGCTGTGACGTGCACACACACACACACACACACACATCTACATGTTCGTAAACATACACATCATCCACAATTACGTCTTTATGCTAATCAATAGAAAATCATGAATACATAATACATACATATAAATATGTGTGTGTGTGTGTGTGTGTGTGTGTGTGTGTGTGTGTGTGTGTGTGTGTTTGTGTGTGTGTGTG